TTTTTTTTTTTTTTTTTTTTTAATATTTTCACTGATTCCGGAGAGAGGGTGGGAGAGGGAGAGGGAGAGAGAGAGAAACATCAATGAGAGAACATCAACCAGCTGCCTCCTGCATGCCCCCCACTAGTGATAGAGCCTGCAACCCAGGCAAGTGCCCTGACCAGAAATCGAACCCACAACCTTCTGGTACATGGGACCATGCTCGACCAAGCCACACCGGCTAGACCAGACCGCTCCATCATAAATAGTGCGCTCAACCCTACATCACGCTCCATTCCAAAAGCCTATTATATTCTTCTTCCTGGCACTTATCGCTACCCAAATTCATGTTATCTATTTGTTAACTGTCTATCTTCCCCACTAGAACGGGAGCTACAAACTTGAGCTTATAGTGCCTGGCACAGAGACAATGCTTTATAAATATTTGTTAAGTTAATGAATATTACTTTCACAGTAAAAATTAAACTAATTTTTAAAAACGTAACTGCATGTACAATTATCACATTGTAAATTACTAGACTTATGGAGAAAGGCTATAAGTTATAATGGGGAAAAACTTTATTTATACCAACTGATTTTAATGTTTTATTATTTTATAATTAAAAAAACAACAGATTTTCTATCCTAAATGAAAGATGAGTGAGGAGCTGTCAGTGCCAGAGGGTCACCACTCTAAACACCAATTGTGAGGAAGAGAAAAGCAGCCCTGACACCTGGGAGGTGGCCTGGGACTGTCAAATGGCCTTAATGTTGCTAGGAGCTGGCCTGGAAGTCACACCTAGGCCTTAGTGTTGAACATAAATATCAACGTCAGACAAGGCCATTCTGTGGAGTTTGCACCCACCTCTCCCAGAGGCCACCAGGACCCAGTAGATCCCCCTCAGAGAAAGCTGCAGGAGTCCAGATGGCAGCCTTGAGCCACACGTCATCACCAACCTTTACCTCTACCTGATCAAATCCTATGCTGTATTTGAGATGACCAGGCCACTTCTAGGAAATTAAGACAAAAATAAGACACTTTATAGTGATATCTGAATACAGACAAACCATGAACAAAATAGTCATTCCTGGCTAATAAGTGACTATTGCTTTTTACCAATTTCTGTGTTAGGTAAAATTTATTAAAATACTCAGTTATATGTACATCAGAAACTAATATAACTAAGATAACACTGCGTACCAACTATACTTAAATAAAAACATTTTTTGTAAAAGGATTTCTTCAATTTAAGAAAAAAAATACTGAATTTTAGAATTACCCATTTTCTGACAGCATCCACCCCAGAACAAAGCCCTAATTCCTTAAAAACTCTCCCAACTCACTAACACAAGTCCAAATCCTGTAATGTGTCTAACACCATCTTCCTGAGATGGCCCACAGTTCCCTGTGCTTTGTGTTCTCCCTCGCTTCAACAAGCAATAAGCCCAGCTTTTCAACCAATGCTGTGTTTCTGGTGGTCTTTTGCTGGTGGGCACTGACAGCTATCAGGACATCAGTTGCCATGATAAGCCACCATACATGCAGAAGCCATAGGAGCCTGGCTGTAAAAATGACTCTAGGATATAACCTCAGTGCTGGTTCTCTGAATACATTTCCTGACATCAGATGATTTTCTTGTCATCTGCCTCTTTCTCCTAAAAAGCTGTATGAAGGGAGAAAAAAAATCCATTTAATTAGATGTCCTGGTAAATAATGTTACAATTAATCAAGGATGGCCTGACAGCTTCCCTTCCTTCCCATTTCCGAAAGTCACCCAGCACAAGGTTAGAGTAGGGCTGAATGACTGACTCATGGGCAGAGCCTGAGGCAACACTACTCAAGTACTTTAAGCCACATGTTCAAGCCCAATAAATTAGCCCAGGCTTAAAGAAGTCAGGCTGTACACATGTAAGAATTTTAATAAGCTTGGAAAATGCTACCTAGAGCTTATGCACAAGCTTACTGTACCAATGGGATTCCCTGCCACCAGCCACAGAGTGCTAAGCCCCTGACAAGAGCTTGTGAGCATACGGGGCAGCAGTGACAGAGAGCCAGCTTGGTCCAGGTTTCCTCAGGAGTTGGGAGACTCACAGCAGAAGGCTGGAAGCCAGATGGATGGAGAGCAAAACAGGGCACGCAGCTCAGTGGAGCCAACAGCATTTACTAGGAAAACACGTCGGAGCTTTCTTTGGTGGAAATCTGGTCCTCACACACCCTTCCAGAAATAAGCAAACACTGTAATCAATATCTGCATTTATCCAATACCTATTTGTACACAGAACTATGTTAGGTACAAAAGAGAGTTATTTAAGCAAACATCTGCCTTCTAGATGCTGACACCTAATATAAATAAAAACAATAAATCTATCCAGGGGATTACCAAAAGAACTGAACAAACATGAAACAGTCAGAAGTATTGACCTTATATAAATGCAATGGAGTCAGAACTGAAGGGTAAGTCATGGGAGATGACTCTCTAAACAGGGTGGTGCCCTAATGGAACAGTTACCTTGTTAAGGCTGAGTCTCCACCTGGAGATCAGCTTTTAAGAAAAGTTTCAAGGGCTGGCTTTTGGGCTTGGGGGAAATAAGACAATCAGAGAAAAGGGTGAAGCTTGGGAGATGATTTAGACAGAAATACAACTAGAGGGAGGAAGAAAACTTGACAATCATCCAAGAAAATCAGGGGGAATCAGTCAAGCTGGTGTGTGTTTCTCAACCGTTATTACTTATGCCCCCTTTTGATAAACATAAAAAAACTCACACTCTCTTATCATGTTATTTAAAATGTGAAAGGAAACTAAATCAACACCAAATCAAAGCAATAGTGGTTTCAGAATTTGATTTTCCAAATGACACAAACCACCCTATTCACCTAGAGCTAAATAAGAATCACCCACTCAGTTGGGTGGTATCAAATGTCAACAAGGATTGAGTAACTATCATTGAATTCTTAAAGAAGAGGATTTGGACCCTGGATCCACATGGGATCAAACAATCAGTAGTGTTATGAAGAGTTAAGATGACAAAAACAGACGAAGGTACTAGCAAATATATGTAATAATTACCTGATTAAAATTTCTGAAGGAGAACTCTTTGTAGATGGCATCTCTCTCTCTTAATTCCGACCATCCTGCTGCTTTAAGGTCGAGTATAACTTGGTTCCTCTCCTCTGCTGTCAACAAGTGAGCATCTGCTGACTATGAAAAGAATACATTTAATATCTGCAATATGGGAGTTTAAACTCAAATATACTTATAACTCTTTTCCTTATTAAATATGTAGAAAAAAGTCTTAAGGGCAACACTTTCTAAACACCTTTGGTGCCTCTGGTCTCCAAATACAAACTTCTCAAAATATAGACAAAAACAAGGCTAGCTCTGTACAACATAAGCTGCTTCGATGGTATGGTAGGTGTCTTATTACCCCTTACCACTGTCTTAAACTTCACAATTCAGTTTCTCTCATTTATTACAGATACAACTGAGACTGACCATTACCACTGGCCATCCTACCAATGACCATTAACAACAGCCAGCATTCCGGGACTTAGGAAACTAAGGTAAATACACTCACCCAAAGAAACCCTGCAAGTACACTGGCAGGACTAGGATTAGAACTCAGGGCTATAAACTCCTGTTCTAATGGTCTTTGGATGGTCCCAATACTGACATGGGACTTAATTATCTGGGTTCACCATCCCCTTTCAGATCTGATGAAAACTAATCCCCAGAGGAGGAAAGAACAAATGCACATTTACACAGGATTTTGATAATAACTTCTGGGGTCCACAGACCCTCTGGACTACAGATAAAAAGCCCTTTGTCTTAGTGAAGTGAGTTTTCTCAGACCACAAGTAAGACAAACTCCCTCCACAGCCTGGCTAGAGCACTGCCCAGTCAAAAGCACCTGTGTGTATTGTTCACCTTGTTCCTGATCACCGTAATGATGACATTCACAAACCTGGAGTTCTGTTAGTTAACAGGCCCACACTTCCCATACTTTTTGTTTTTTAACTGAAAGAAACCTAAGCATCATGGCCAGAGAGAGAAGAGAAGGGCACTCTACTAGAAGTCAGAAGAGTTTCATTCTCATTATGACATACGTGCCAATCAAAAACTCTTTCCTTACCACCCTTGCCAGTTTGGCTCAGTGGTTAGAGTGTTTCCCCTCAGACTGAAGGGCCCCAGGTTCGATTCTGGCCACGGGAACGTACCTCAGTTGTAGGCTCCATCTCTGGCCCTGGTCGGGAGACCTGCAAGAGGCAACCAATCGATATCTCTCTCTCACATCGATGTTTCTGTTTCTCTCTTTCTCCCCCCACCCCATTCTCTCTGAAAAGCAATGGAAAAAATATCCTTGAGTGAGGATTAAAAAAACAAACAAAACAAAAAAAAACTCTTGCCTTACCTATTTGCAGGGCTGCTGCAAGTTTAGGTAAGAGAGGGACTGTCACCCAGAAAGAATGAGCTAATATGAGGGTTTCTCTTCAAAGGGTAACTGGGAGCTGAGCTAGATCTTCCACCATGAAACTGCAACTCATTCCCACTTCAGAAATCCTAAAACCTTTTATTACTGACATTAATGTAAGAAAGCAAAGTCAGTAAACTTACTTTAAGACAACTTATTCTAGAGGTTCACGTCAAGATGGTGGAGTATGAGCACTGTGCTCTTCTCCTTCCATGAACACATCAAAATTACAAGTAAATTACAGAACAACCAACCTAGAGAACAACCTGAAGACTAGCTGAACAGAAATCCTATAACTAAGGATATAAAGAAGCCACGAGGACACTGATAGGGGAGGGGGAGATGTGAAATGGGATGACTCACACCCAAGAGTGGCAGTTGAGAATTGGGAGGAATATCACAGCTACAGAGGTTTCCCCTGAAGAGCCAGAAGTCCCAGCCCCACACTGGCCTCCCCAGCCCAGAGCAACACTGCCAGAAAGAGGTGCCCACACAACATCCAGCTGCGAAAGTCAGTGGGAAGATTCCATTCCTCTGGGTGACATGGAAGGCCGCTGAAAACCCAGGCATCCTCTTAAAGGGCCCACACACAGACTCAGTCACTCCCAGGCATTCACCCTGGGCTTCTGCGGAGGGACAGTGGCTCGGGAGGCACCAGAGACATACAGGAAGAAACTGAGTTGTGTGGTTTCAGGGCTAGGGCTGAAGGGACAGTTGCCATTGTCCCTGTGTTGAGCCCTCCTCCCCCACAGCTGGCAGCAGGCAGGCACCATCTTTCCTGTACTGAGCTCTCCCACCACATAGCCAAATCTGAATCTGCATTAGCCTGGAGAACTAGTTCCACTCTGACAACTCCCCAAAACCAACCCCCACTCAACTCGTGTATCATCCAAGGCACTTTTGGTGACAGCTAGCCTGGGCCTGTTGCAGTCTTTCTTAAGAAACTCTCAAGGAGTGGAGGGAGGTCGTGTGCCTTCAGGAGAAGAGCTGAGGTGACATTCATCATTGTCCCTGTGTTCAGCGCTCCCCCCATACAGCCAACAGGCACCATTTTCCTATGTTGAGCCCTCCTCTACAAGGCCAAATGTGAATCTGCATTAACCTGGTGAACTGTACTCCACCCTGACGACTCCCTGAGATCTGCCCCGGACTCAACTCATGCACTGCCTGAGGCTCTTTCAGCAAGAGCCAGCCTGAGCCTATTGCAGTCTTTCTTAAAAAGGAACTGTCATTTGACCCAGTGATCCCACTTCTGGGAATATATCCTAAGAATCCCAAAACACAAATCAGAAAGAATATATGCAACCCTATATTTATAGCAGCACAATTTACAATAGCTAAGATCTGGAAACAGCCCAAGTGCCCATCAGTAGATGAGCGGATAAAAAGCTGTGGGACTTTTACACCATGGGGTACTACACAGCTATAAAGAAGAATCTCGTACCCTTTGGGATAGTATGGATGGACCTGGAGAATATTATGCTAAGCAAAATAAGCCAGGCAGAGAAAGACAAATATCACTTATATGTGGACTCTAAAGAACAAAATAAATTGATGAACAAGATAGGACCACAGACATGGAAACATGAAACAGACTGGCAGATCTCAGAGGGAAGGCAGGAAGGAGGGCGGGAAGAGATTAACCAAAGAATTACAAACATATATGAACAGCCCATGGGCACAGACAATAGATAGGTGAAGGCTTGGGGTGGGGTGTGAGGTGGATGGAGGGGGGAAAGGGGAGGGGAAA